CTGTGATAAAAGTCTTTGTTAAACCACCTCTTGTGCAAAGTTAATATGAAACACAAATGTGTCGCATTAACGAGTTTCCTTCCTTTAAACAAGCAACAAAACTGTAGCGCTGTAACAAAATAATTTCGTAAAATATACCAAAAAAATACTCTAGGCGATATATCAATACAGCAGCTCATGATATCGATACAATATGTTGATATTTCAATGTTTTTGCACACCCCTACTCATCACTAACATACCCTATGTTGTGTTTTGAGTACTTCTCTCAAACAGAAAACACTGTTGCACCTTGTGATGTCATGTGGAAATACAAGAAGGGCTCCAGTGTGTTTTTAAAGTGTATCCATCTTCACTAGTTTGGATAATTTCAGCCCTGGAATTGCCTATCTTTACTGAATAAAATGTAAAAAAGTAGTTGTTAACTTGGAAATATACGACTACATGACATCACAAAGTGGAACAGAGCATTTTGAGCTTTGGAAATGTAGACAGACTAATAATAAAAGGTTACTCAAATGTGAGAATGAAGCAAGACACAACTCAAAGGATGTTTTGGAGGAGGTTAAAACATTCTAACATGGCTTAAAGCTCTTTTGCGTAATGTGTGACCTTTAAGATTTGAGTTCTGGTTTGTAGCCGGTTTAGTTCTTTTGTTAATGGATTTTAAAGGTGCATTATGTAACTTTATTGGTGGGGTGGGGGAGTCCAACATCTTTGCCTAAACTGTTCCTTAGCATCAATCAACTTTATATTACATTTATTCAGTTACAGATGTTTTTGTTGCTTTAAAATGCCTTAAAAAATGTGCTTTCTCGCTGTGAGTGGTTTCGCCTCTCCACAGATCTGAACCGGTGGAGTCATCTGCTTGTTTCCATGGAGATAGGATTCATTTACTGTCATATTGTCGAGCATTCTAGACAAAGCTATAACATCCCCGTAGGGACAAGCAAGCAAGTTGGCAGCACCAGTTTTGGTTTATCTAATTTTGAGTGATTTAGACCAAATTGAGTTCTCAAATTGTTTTGTTGTTGTTTTGTCATGGTCATGTCCTAGTTTAGGCCTTGTTATATTAGATTTGTCCTGATTTTGACCTAGTCTGTAACACCTTGCCCTGCTTAAGTCTTGCATTGTTCCTGTTTTTTTGTTTTGTTTTGTTTTGTTTAGTTAACCCGTGTCAATTAATTTCTAATTCAACCTTAATTTGATTCCATTAGTACGTCATTAAAGTGATTGTTTGTAGGGTTTGAAATGTTGATATTCTCTCATTTTCCCTCTCTCCTCTTTTCTGACCTTTCTGCCCCATCTCTCCTCTCTTACTCCTTTTCTTCTTGCGCCGTCTTTCCCTTCTCTCTTTCTCCTCTCTTTCCTCTCCATTATTTCTCACTTTCTTTCTCTCTCCTCCCTCTTGTATCTCTGCCCCTTTCTCTATGTCTTCTGGCTTACTCCCTTTCTTTTTGCTCCCTCTCCTCTCTTTTCCCTCTCCTCCTCTCTTTCCTCTTCCCCAATTCTTTTACACTTTCTCTTTCCTCCTTCTTCTCTCTCTGCCCCACCATCTCTATCTCTCCTCTCTTACTCCCTTTCTTGGTGCTCTGTATATTTCTTTCTCTTTCCCCTCTCCTCTCTTTCCTCTTCCCCATTATTTCTCACTTTCTTTCTCTCTCCTTCCTCTTCTCTCCCTGTCCTCCTCTCTATCTCTCCTCTCTTACTTCCTTTCTTCTTGCTCCATCTCTCCCTGCTCTCAATCCATGAGAGCTCAAACAAGTCCAGCCTTCGTTCATTCATTTTTCAATATAAATCCAAAAATAAGAAAATGAAAAAGCAACAATTTTCTTCATTATTTGTCTCCAAAACCAAACTTAATACACGGGTAACGATTTTTTATTTTTTATTTTTTTTCAGTTTTCAATTTTGAATAATGGAGAAAAAAAATGGATAACGGCTGTTTCCCGTTTCCATGACTTAAACTGCGATGCCAGACTTTTGCGCTGCATACAGACTGAACCAGGACTAAACTGTTTTTAGTCCTGGTCTGGTCCCAGTGTCAGTCCTGGTCTTAATCCTAGTTTGATCCTGGTCTGGTCCCGATCTCAGCCCCGCTCTCAGTCCTGGTCCTGTTCCCGCTCTCAGTACTGGTCTCAGTCCTGGTCTGGTCTGGGTCTGGTTCCGATCTGGTCCTGGACCTGGTTTAGTCCTGGTTCAGTCTGTATGCGGCGCAAAACTCTGGCATCACAGGTTAAGTCACTGAAATGGGAAATGCCCGTTATGTGTTTTTTCAACGATTAATTTAAACACAAAATCGAAAACTGGGAAAAAAAAAAAAATAAAATCGTTATCCATTTTTTCATTTTTGGTTTTGGAGACAAATAATGAAGAAAATAGTTTTTGTTTTTTTTTCATTTTCTTATTTTTGGTTTTATTTTGAAAAATGAATGAACAAATGATGCACAGATTGCTCTCTCTTTCCTCTTTCCCCTCTCTTCCTCTCCTCTTTCCTCTTCCCCATTCTTTCTCACTTTCTTTCTTTCTCTCTCCTCCCTCTTCTCTCTCTGTCACCCCTTCCTTCTCTCTCTTGCCCTCATTTTTTCTCCCCCTCCTTTCTGTATATTAAACAAAGCACTGAAAGACACATCTCATCTCTTACCCTCTCTTTCTCTCCCTCCCTCCTCTCTCTTTTCCTCTTCCCCCTCCCTCTTTCTCCACCCCTTCTCTCTCTGTGTTCTGAACAAAGTAATGAAAAGCACAAGTTGTTTTCGCAGGGGGCTGTTGTTCTGTTTGCTTGATGAGATCCTCATGACTGTGACACACACTTTATACGCTCAAACAACTGCAGGCGAGAACTGTGTCAAGAACCAACTTTCCCACCATTATCCAATATCCAATATCCAACTGTTTTGTTCATATAAGGAAGGAAGGAATGGAGGAAGTTTATTGGTGGTGATTTTTCTATTGCCGCTTGTCCAAAGAGCTATTAAACACAACGATTTACTCTGTAACTTTGAAATTAGGTCATCAAAAGTTTGCCAAATCTAACGAAAACAGCGAATATCTGCAGACATGGCAAACCCTCTACAACACTTGCTTTGTATGTTCTTTATTGTTTGCTTTACGTGGAGATGCATGTTTGGTACTGAAACTCGGGACCATGCATGATTAAAGTTGCACTATGTAACTTTTCTGTACGGTTTGTCTGCCGCCAGCTTGTCTCCATGTAGATGTTAATGCTTCAGTGTAAGTGTTTTTATTGTTCATATTTTGCTTGTGCTTTCTCACTGTGAACGGACTTACTTGTTCCCAGAAGCAGAGGTGGAAAAAGTGCTGAAAAATTGCTATTAAGTAAAAGTATCTTAATATGCTTAATTCCTACTCAAGTAAAAGTAACCATCTAATAATCTACTTGAGTAAAAGTAAAAACGTACTTTATTTTTCAATTATTTGATGTGAAAAGATGAAAATAAAAGATGGATTAGATGAAAAATCAAATCCAGCATAAGTTGTTTTAATCAACTTTTAGGTGATACAGTGCAAACTTTGTACATTTTAAAAGACAACTGAGCTCACTAACACTAACACTGAGCTCTTTCTTTAGCTGCATAACACATTTATCAAATTAAACAAATTTAAAAGTTACTAAATTCTGAATTATATATTCCAACTCACTAGCCTGATTCATCAGCTGGTTTCACTTCATGTAAACTGTCTGACCTCGCAGTATTAGAAATCATTTGCTCGACGGTAGGCTGGTACTTTGGCTCCGATATGCTCTCAAGAAGCATCGCTGCTATTTGGTCGTCACGTATGTAATACACCACTAATGGGGCTAACTGGTATATTAAGCTTTTCCCAAATCCTCTAGGAAGAAGGGCAATAACTTCTTCCCCTTGATAAAATTCACCAAACATTCTCTGTTCCCTGATCTTGGGAATCGTTGCCAACACAGAATATATGGCTTTTCACTGATTGGCTGGTGCCCGAACTTGCACTTCCAGGATTCTTGCAAACCGTCTATTGCATTCTGATTCCTGACCTAGTCTCTGGAGCGAAATGAAATTGAGTGGAGGCACTAATTAAACCGAAATCAAAGTACGCAAAACGAAAATGTTGCACACATTTCACACCGACTGCTGATATAAGAAATGAAAAAGTGCAGTGCCCTACAGAATATTCTACCCACTGGACACTACAGCATTAGACTGTAAACTGACTCTTGATTTTCAAAGTTTGTAGCATTAATCCGTGCTCTCTTCGCTGTGAACAACAAACCTCACTTTTTTTTGTCCATCAGATTTTACAGTAACGAGAGTGGGTTTCAATGTAATGAAGTAAAATACTTGGGTCAAAATGTACTTAAGTAAAAGTAAAATTACCTATTTCAAAAACTACTTATAAAAACTACTCACTTACAGTAATGTGAGTAAATGTAATTCATTACTTACCCCCCTTGCCCAGATGTGACTCGTAAATTGACGTCTTTGAAGTATTTGTCTGCATAGAGACAAGGAAGTGGAAGAAAAGTTACACTGTACATCAAGTAGATCATGATTATTATATTTAGCTTGTTGGCGTATTAATGATGAATGACGTGGTATAAATTGCCATGTTTTATTCATGGTACACAGTGAAGATGAGTTATTTGAAAGCTTTTTGTGTCCATCCATACATTCGCTGTACACTGAAGGGCTTTGATGCTTATATGAGGGTTCGGGGCTTTCTTCTAATTATCTAAATGATCTCATCTGCTTCCTGAGAAAATGTCCGAGCCAAATGTGAAACCTCTGGCAGAGAAGAGCTCTTTCCACTGACTCATTTGGTTCTAATCAGATCAGAGCAGGAGAAGTGCTGAGTTCAAGGACAGTAGGAGAGGACAGTATGCAGACATGACACTCATTTATAACAGGACAAAACACACTGACCATTGCTTATCCCGTGATTCTTGTGAAAAAATGCTGTCCAAATATGAACCTGCATATGAACCTGTTTTGTTTTCTGTCTCTTTCCAGTGACAGTGGTCAGGTGAAGCTCCACCCCAGCCTGTTCCTGCTGCTCCTGGTACTGAGTCGGCTCTATCCCTCCCCCATGGACGGCTCCTCATCTCCTCTGGGACTGGCCCCCTTCACCCCCTTCATCATCAGGTGAGTGCCACGCTCTGTTTTTTATTGTGGGGGTGTTTTTGTGGCAATCTGTGGTGGCACAATGGTTAGTGCTGCGGAGTCAGTGCTAGAAGGTTTTGGGGTTTTTGAGTTTACATGTTCTCCCTGTGTCCGAATAATTATGATTCATTTTGACATTCCTATAAAACCTATCGAGACTTGCAATTCCAGAGCTGAAATTATCCAAATGATTCGAGTGAAAGTGAGTGGAGCACTTGACAAAACAAGATGGATTGTTTTCTGTTAGAGAGAAGAACTCTGCCTGAATATGCAGGATTTGTGTGACACGTGTGAATAAAAAAAAAACACAATGATTTATGAGGATGCATCAAAAATGGTGTAATATGTTCCCTTTGAAAACACGCCTCGGAGAACACACTATCACATCCAGGGGTCACCCACCTGCTCCTCACTCTCTGATAAACCTGGTTCTCTTTCTCTGAAGCGCGGCCGCCTCCAAGAATAGGCCTATAATAATCTCCAGACACAACACCTGTAGACTAAACCTCGCTCCTGTGGGTCCTGTGCTGTTTGTGCAGGTGGCCAACACAAATGCCATGTTATTGGTTTGGCTGTGTGTATGTGACTCCTTCTGGAACCAACCAGCACCGCACCAGGACTAGGTATTGTTAAGATATCGGTGCTGAAAGAAATATGGTTTACTAGGAGATTGGCTTATGTTATTACTAAACTGGAATGGAACTACTGCATGTCTAAATTTGAGTTGGTTATTATAAACTTAGGAAATACTGTGTATGTTTTTTGAAAATTAACACAAATAATGGACCCCTAACCTTGAAGAGTAGACCTGGACAAAACTAGGTCTAATACAGGGCAGCCATGGGGTCTTAAAAGTTTTAAAAAGGTCTAAATTAAGGCCTTAAAAAGTCTTAAATTATGTTGTCCAAGTCTTATTTTTTTCACAAAGGTTTTAAATTGTATTAGTCTATTTTTTGTATACTCAACCAGGCTGCAGTGCAATGTTAAATGGAGGGAATTTAAAAAAAAAAGTGAAATTATGTAACATAAATTTAAGTCTAATTTGGACTGTGCGCAAACAATATTTACTTTGTCTTGTTAGAATGTTTTACAACCAATGCATACTATTATAAATGAGTTCTGAATGAGATTTTATGATACAAGTATTTTTTGTTATTTAAAGCAGTGAGTAATGTTATTATTAGAAAATGGATCTGGTGTTTTTTACCCGCAAAATGTGTGCGATGTTGGTCTTAATTTTCATTTAAGTGGTCTTAAAAAGGTCTTTAAAAAATTCTTAAATTTGGGGTAGTCAAACCTGGGGATACCCTGTAATAGATGGTCTTAATAATGTCAAGATAATTCTGTGTGTAGGAAAATTAAGTAAGAATCAACTAAGAATAAACCAGATGTAAGCTTTCCCTAGACACAATTCCCAACCAGAGCAGACAGAGGATGACATAAATATTTTCATCTTTGTAGAGTTCACAAATGTTGTAATTACTATCATCTGTGATGGATATTCCTCCACCATAGTTACCAGTCTCAACATTTGAAAAACTATAGGCTGAATCTGTGTGTGAGAGCGAGTTGTCTCTTTCAGACAAATGGGAAATCTGTGCTTCCAGGCCACGTAGTTCACATTCCAGCAGCTGAAAAATGAACAAATATTATCTGGAAGCTGGCTCTGTGCTCTCAGTCGTGTTTAGAGAAAACTCCTGTGATAATGTGCTCCTCATGCATTCCTCTGAGACACTGCTTCTCAAACTGGGGTGTAGCTGCAGACTGTATGTTATAAATTGTTTAAGTACTATTTGTGTGTGTGTGTGTGTGTGTGCGCGTGTGTGTGTGTGTGTGTTTGTGTGTGTAGCACTTGTCCAATTTCATGTTTTTTTTTTCTTAAAATTGTTTATTTCTGAATTGGCATGAACAAGCATAGCTGTAGGAAACTAAGATTAAATTTATTTAAAGAAGGAAAGACAGGATTAGAAAAAACTTGGCTAAATTTATACTAGTATCTGAGAAGAACTGGACTAGGACTAGACCATGTCTGGACTTGGACTAAACCTGGACTAAACCAGGATTAACTGGTACTGGGCTAAACCTGGACTAAACCTGGACTAAACCTGGACTAAACCTGGACTAAACCTGGACTAAACCTGGACTAAACCTTGACTAAACCTTGACTAAACCTGAACTAAACCAGGATTAAACCTGGGCTAAACCTGGACTAAACCTGGGCTAAACCTGGGCTAAACCTGGGCTAAACCTGAGCTAAACGTAGACTAGACCCGTGCTAGACCCGTGCTAGACCTGTGCTAAACGTGGGCTAAACGTGGGCTAAACGTGGGCTAATCCTGGACTAAAACCTGAGCTAAACCTGGGCTTAACCTAAGATAAACCTGAGCTAAACTTGTGCTAAACCTGTTGTTAAACCTGTTAATCATTATTTGATGTGGACTGAGGCCACTACGTTGCCATTTTTCTCTTATGGCTCACATTTCTTTTAACAAACTACAATCACATCTTTAGGGTTGAATATTGCCACCACTTTCTGAGACTATTGTGAGAAAAAAATAAATAAATCAAAAACACTGTTTATTTCTGCTCACAGGGAAGACTTTGACAGTTTTTGTTTAATCTGGATAGGCCTAGAAATTACAAAAATATTAACAACAAACAAGGTCGAAACATCTGCAAACAGTTAAACAGCAAATCTAATGTATTCTGACCTGACACTTAACTCAATTTAAAACTATGAACTCTTTAAAATGTTGTGATATCAACCTAGAATCTCGTTATGTAATCTGAACCCAGCATATATTATACTTGTAACTTCAGTATTACTCAGTTGTTCCATGTCTCGACTCCTCTGGTGTTTTGGAAGAGGACCTTGACTCAGGAATGCTCCGCTGACTGAGATAACACCAGGGAGCTCTGCGTGTTTGGCTATGGGAGATTATAACTGTATGCAGAGTCAAGCGTGTCATGTCAAGATTTATTTTTATTTATTACGTAGAAGGAACATGACATTTTTGTTAGAGTTTCAAACATGACTTGGCCTCTCCCTCCTGAATTTCCATGACCAAATGTCTGACATTTTAAGATACAAATGTTTAGTTTACCATTTATAGGACATGTTGAAAGATTGTAGCATCTCTTAATCTTGGTAATGGTGCACTATATGTAACTTCACTGTTGCCACTTGTATCTTTATTTATCTACCTTGTATTTTTTCAGTTTTTATTGTTGAAAAAACATGCATTCTTGCTCTGAATGGACTCGCCTCTCAACAACTCTGACATGAAACTTGGCCATGGCAGCATCTAGATCAGTTTACTGTGGAACATTTCAGGTACATCAGTAACATCTCCATGGAGACAGGCAACTTCAGGACCCTTGTGAAAAATTACCGTATTTTCCTCACTATAGGGTGCACTGAAAAGCCTTTAATTCAATCAAAAAAGACTGCGTGTCTTATAATCTAGAGTGCCTTATATATGAATTTATTTGGGTGTCTTAGAATGACTTTAGTAAACTACCGTAGTCAGGAGCATTGCAGAGTAATACATACTGTGATTCCTTTTAATATCAAAATGCACCTGTCAAGAGACACGCTTACAACACCCACTTTAAACTCTTTAAACTATTATAAAGTTAAAGTGCGAGCTGCGTGGGAGCAGTGAATGAGAGAAGGTGAGCACACATTCACCAAGACAGGGAGACAGCGCCGAGCGACTTACGCCACGATCTGCCAACGGATCGTGGATGCCTGCACTAAGGATCAGTATGAACTGTGGTCCGAGCTTTCACCAAGACCAGAATCATCACTGAACTGCCAGGGAACAGTAACCACACTGACTTGGATAATGACGAGAGGGATGTGGGTGTGCTGGACGCCGTAATCACCCAACTGTTTGAACAATTAAGAATTATTGTGAATACGCTAACAATATAGCGTCTCAGACAGGATTTTTTTATGCGTTACAATTGAACAAAGTTGAGAGTTATTGTGAACACGTTAAATAAAGTTTGACTGACTTATCTAACTGTTGTGTTTCGTTTAATGCGCCTTATAGTCCGGTGCGGTTTATATGTGAAAAAAGTTCAAAAATAGACCATTCAATGAAAGTGCGCCTTATAATCCAGAGCGCCCTATAGTGCGGAAATTACGGTGCATAGTGCACCTTTAAATCAACACTTATAAATGAAGCTCTACATTGTGTTTTTGCATTCATACCTGGGCCTTAATTACATCAACTAATCCTTATCCTAAAAATATAGCTTTTTGCATTAAAAGTAGGATTTTAACTTCAAGTTTTCACTGAATGGAGAAAATGAGAAAAACTCAACACACACTGCACAGAAAGAGTAAACCTTTCCACTGGATATTACAGACTTTACTTTATGAACATTTAGTAACAATTTACTTCTGATTAAACACAATGTGCAATTTAACATTTAACAATTGAAACTACTTTACAGTGTTTTTGCCTTGACAATATTTCCATTACATTTCAACTCTGTGTCATTTGTTTTTGTCTTAAATCGAGAGAAAGTGGCTGCAGTCATCCGTCTGTCCCCCAAACCCACTGGACACTGGCTGGGCTGTCTGCCGTGAGTCAACATTTGTTTGTCCCTTTTGTTGCAAAGGAAGCGTCCACTGAACAAGCTGTTAACGCCTTTCATTTGGGCAAAAAGGGAAAGCACTCACTTTACCCAAATGTATCAGTTTCTTTAAAACTGGGATCTCCAACTTCTGTTGAGCTACTTTACAAAATGAAAATGTCAGAGAGATTTTCATTTTGTCGGTCGCAAGAAATTGAGTCGATATAAGAGGGCAAGTCTTAGATGTTGTACAGTTAGATGCCTCTAAAACCTAAAACCATTATCCATTTTGAGTTAATCAATATGAATTAATCAGTGAATTTGAGTTATTCAGTACAGTATGTATAATTCAGAAATCCCTTGGCGAGCTACTTGTAAGGGGGTGGAGAGCTCCT